CACCTTGCCCTCAGCAGGACCTTATTGTCTGCAAAAGAGGGTGGAAATCAGCGTTACGATTTTTCCCTGTTCCCATGATCCCTTCCTTCCAGAGACGCCTCCAGCACATCATCTGCCTGTACTGATGTATCCCTACCTGGGAAATCCTTCAGTCTTTCATCTCGATACTTGAAAGCATCCTTGGAAGCCTAATGATCACATCAAGAATGAGGAAAAGAAATGGCAATGTTAATGGAAATAAAAGCACAACCTGTGCCATTAGGGAGGATATTTTGCTTTGGAGGTGAGTCTGTAGGAAAATTACTACCCTTGTGCAGTGACTGTGGGCAGTGCAGGGGCAATATAAGAGAGGGCTCATCCTCACTCTCTCATCCACTCCTCTTGCCTCAGTCTGCTTGGATCAAGGTGAGTGGGGTCACTCCCTGTCCCTGTCCCTGTCCCTGTCCCTGTCCCTGTCCCTGTCCCTGTCCCTGTCCCTGTCCCTGTCCCTGTCCCTGTCCCTCTCCCTCTCCCTCTCCCTCTCCCTCTCCCTCCCCTCCTCCAATTTTCCAGTACATACCTGTCACTTGGTCCTATGCTGCATCATGGGACTGCTCTCTGTGAGAGGTGAAATGTGAAAGCGTCATATGGAGGGAGGCTGGGGCCTTGCTGAAGTGAGTGATGGTCTAGGCAGGAACCTTCTGAGATTGGTTGCTCTTGGCAGGGAACTTGTGGGCTAAATGTGAGGAAAACCCTTTGGGCATCCCTGCATCTCCAGCTCTTGTCTCTGTCTTGGCTAGAGTCATGGTGTGGTGAGGCTGCTCTTCAAACACCCCTCACAGTCTGCTCCTCCCTGTCCTCTGTGCCAGGTGCATCTGCAGCCCCAAGACATGTCCTGCTACACCCCGTGCCGGCCCTGCCAGCCCTGCGGCCCCACCCCGCTGGCCAACAGCTGCAACGAGCCCTGTGTCAGGCAGTGCCAGGACTCCACCGTCATCATTGAACCCTCGCCCGTGGTGGTGACCCTGCCCGGCCCCATCCTCAGCTCCTTCCCACAGAACACCGCCGTGGGATCCTCCACCTCGGCTGCTGTTGGCAGCATCCTCAGCTCTCAGGGAGTGCCCATCAGCTCTGGGGGCTTTGGCCTCTCGGGCTTGGGCAGTGGCCTCTGTGGCATGAGGCGCCTCCCCTGCTGAAGCTGCTGGTGATGGCTCTGGGGAAGGAAGCCAGGGACTCCCAGGATGGAACCGCCCTGGGGACCCAGCACCGGCTTGTTGCTTCCTGAGGGGCTGAGCAAGCCCAGCAGCCCTTGCAGAAGGACAGGGCCAGCCTGGGCTCTTGGGAAGCACAGCCCATCCCTGCCTGTGTCCTCTGCCTCTCTCTCCTTTCCCTCCTGTGTCCCTGCTCCCTTGTGCTCCCCTGGGCTGTGAGCCCCACATAGCCATCCCGGGGAGAACCTGCTGGCCCTGCTCCCTCTCTGGATCAGGAAGAAGAATACCTGCTGGGGCAGATTCCCTTCTGTCCCTCATGCTCTCTGCACTGAGACCTCCAGACAGAGCTGGAGACATTTCTGTCTCCAGACATTTCTGTGTTTTGTCTTATTAAATTTCTGCTGCATCGCAGTCCAAGTGTCTGTGTCATTGTTTGCAGGTTCTTTCTCAATATGCCCAAGGCAAAATATGTTTTTAAGGGCTGTTTTTGTAAGGGTTTGCTTGGGATGACTGTTCAGTGATGGATAGCAGCATTGTATAGGGTCTGCACAAGATGGAGTTCTATTTCACCAAATTAACTCTTCTACTGGTTCTTCACAGTTGGAGCTAGAATGCTGCTGATAACAGAAATATTTTAGGTTTTTCTGGGCTATGCTTGCCCAGCATCAACCCTGTCTCTCCACCCTCCTCTGCAAAAGGTCATGGAGCTGGATATGGTCAAGAGGTTGGGAGAGGACATAGCCAGGCTGCCTGACCCATGCTGACCAAAGGGATATTCGATACCATGTGATATCGTGGCCAGCAAAAAATGCTGAGCGAGAGGAGGAGGAGGGTGGCAGGGGAGCATTTATTAACAGATTATTCATCAAGGAAGAAACTGCTAAGTGTACTGTGTCCCTGCTTCCCAGGACAGGCTGGCCATTGCCAGTTGATGGAAGGTGATAATCAAATTATTTTTTATTTTTTGCTGTGGTTTTGCAGTCTTTCCTTGCTTTTCTTCATTAAAATGCCTTTATCTCAACACACAGATAGAATCTTATCTTCTCTCACCTTCTCCTCTCTGAGGAGGGGGAATGATTGAGCATTTTGATGGGCACCTGAGGGCCAGGGGAGACTGTGATGGAGGAACTGTCTTGTGTGGGGCATGAGCAAATAGACCTCTCCATTCTCATCCATGAGTGATGCAGGTTGTTTTGTTGTGTGGGCTCACAAAGTCCTTTTTCATCTAAGTGTGAAGTGTTCAAAAATATTAATTAACTCTATTGACTTAATGTAGTGTTTGAGGTATCTGGTGTCAGGGCGGTGTAAGAAAACAGAATTTTTTGGTGTGGCAACAGTGAAACTTGTCCTGAGGTGGCTGGTGGTTGCTTTTAACACAACTCTAGAGCTTGACCAGTACTATCAGAGGACAGGGGTCCAGAGAGGGCCCCAAATCACTTCTGAGAGTATCAGGAGTGAGTCATCCATCTGACCTACATTTTAGATCACGGTAGTTGAGGAAGATACCCAAATCACACATGAGAACACCATGGCTGAGATAGGGACCCAAACAACACCAATGGCAATTGTCCCAGTATTGGAAAAAAAATCATGGATAAAGAGGTGAATGGGACCATCTCATTGGTGGATTGAGTGAAGGGGAGATAGGGTCTGATCAGGAATCCAGTCCTTCAGCAAAGAGGATGCACTATGTGTGGGAGAGTGCCTTCCTGGCTCTGGATAAAATCTCTCTTCCTGTCATCACAGGCCAGCACCTTGGCTAGTAGGGGCGATGGAAGAGTGACACATGTAGCTTGTCCTATCCCACTAAGGTCAGTGGGAAACGGAGCTCCAGGACTGCACTGGATGGCCCCCTCTGGTTCTTTCATGAGCAGCAGGAGGATGGAGGAAGTGGGGCGGAGAGAGCCTGCCTCTGAGGTGGAAGTTGGTGTACATGAACTGAGGGGGGAAGACAGCTGAAAGAAGTCTGTCAGCTTTCTTGAAGTGTTTGAAAAGTGTAAAAGAATAATTCCAATTCTTCTGGAAATTTAATTGCCCATGAAATGAAGCCAGGTCAAAGGACCTGATACACGGAAAAGACACTTTTCTCCACAACTCCACAACTTGTTAAAGTTGTAAAGTAGATAGGTATTTTATCTACTGCTGGGCATATGTGGGATCATTCTCAAAGGCGTATGTGCCAAAAGCAATGACTGTTTCCTTTTTATTCTCTACAGTCTAGGATTATACAATATGCCTAATACATATTCATTCCCTAACCCCGCCTAGCCACACTTCGTATGGTAAGTAGCTCTAGGTCCTGTCTGCACTTGTGCCTCCCAAATTTGGGGGTCGTTGGTGGTCTCTGATGAAGACTTCCAAGCTCTTCTTCGCATCTGAACTTCTCACTTTTCCTCTTCACACATGGTCCCAGGCCCCTTGATCATAGTCCAAGCCGCAAGACTAGTCCTGGCCAGTTTTGGGGTCTAAGCAACCCTTCTTATCTCAGTCTCCTTGCATTCTTGTTTCCTCTCAGTAAGTTTGCAGATGACTCCAAGCTGAATGTCACTGTTGATCTTCTAGAGGGTAGAAAGGTTCTACAGAGGGATCTGTACAGGCTGCATCAATGGACCAAGGCCAATTGTATAAGGTTCAAAAAGAAGAAATGCTGTGTCCAGCCCTTGGGTCACAACAGCGCCCTGAATCACTACAGTTTTGGGGCAGAATGGCTGGAATGCTGCCTGGGGGAAGGGACCTTGGGGGTGCTGGTTAACAGCAATGGAACATGAGCCCAGACCCCATTGTAACTGCTGTGATAGTTGACAGGCTGAACCTGGGATGTTTGGTGGATAAGAACCACATTCTGTGCACTCTGAATACTTTTATTGTGGATTAGAACTTGGCTTTCCTTTATTTCCTTCAATACATTTTTGCAGTCAGACACTACCACTGGCAATCCTCAAACAGTACCCTGTCACAATCTTATATTATGAAAAGTATAGTTCCATAAACTGTCTGTGCCAGTCCTTCATTGTTGTTTGCAGTCTCTGGCTGGGAACACACATAAATACAATGGAAGACTCACTATGGCATCAAAAAGTGAGAAGACCTGCTGAGGGGTCTCACTGAAGCTGAGGGTGTTTCCCTGACTGAGTCAGTCAAGCTGCCCTGTGATGCAGCAGGATGACTCAGTGCAGGGTTCCCCTAACTGGACACTGACTGGGTGGTGGAGCACAAAGGTCTCGGCTTTTCTGGGACACTGACAGACAAATTAAACACCAAGGGTCAAGAAAATCTCCCTTTTAAACATGACAGCACCTCTGGTGGGGCTCTAGTCACTGAACCGTGTTGAATCATTCTATCCAGCCCTAGATGGGTAGAGAAGTACGAAAAACAGAGGATCACCTTCTAAGCATAGTCAAAAACAATCCTGTGATTATAGTCCCTGTACAAACATACCCAATAACCCCCCTACTCATTTTGTAAGGGCATATACAGGGGAAATGATGACAATAAGGCAACAGTTCAAATGCAGCGGAATTTTAATGAGTCAAAAGATGAAAACTAAGTAAATCTGAGCCAAAGGAGCACCACAGGCAGATAAGAGTCTGCACCAAATAACTGTGGTGGAGATCTCAGGAGATATCCATCTGCCTACCCTACAGAGGGGGCAGGGCCAGCAGGTTCTCCCCAGGATGGCTGTGTGGGGCTCACAGCCCAGGGGAGCACAAGGGAGCAGGGACACAGGAGGGAAAGGAGAGAGAGGCAGGGATGGGCTGTGCTTCCCAAGAGCCCAGGCTGGCCCCGTCCTTCTGCAGGGGCTGCTGGGCTTGCTCAGCCCCTCAGGAAGCAACAAGCCGGTGCTGGGTCCCCAGGGCGGTTCCATCCTGGGAGTCCCTGGCTTCCTTCCCCAGAGCCGTCACCAGCAGCTTCAGCAGGGGAGACGCCTCATGCCACAGAGGCCACTGCCCAAGCCTGAGAGGCCAAAGCCCCCAGAGTTGATGGGCACTCCCTGAGAGCTGAGGATGCTGCCAACAGCAGCCGAGGTGGAGGATCCCACGGCGGTGTTCTGTGGGAAGGAGCTGAGGATGGGGCCAGGCAGGGTCACCACCACGGGCGAGGGCTGGATGGCCACGTGAGAGTCCTGGCACTGCCTGACACAGGGCTCGTTGCAGCTGTTGGCCAGCGGGGTGGGGCCGCAGGGCTGGCAGGGCCGGCACGGGGTGTAGCAGGACATGTCTTGGGGCTGCAGATGCACCTGGCACAGAGGGAAGGGGGAAGTGGAACAGAAGCTGTGGATGAAGAGCAGTCTTTCACCCCACTAAGAGTACATAAGTCACAAGTTAGGGAAAAGCTGGGGACTTGGCCATGAGATCCACAGGTATCACCTTCCTTTCTGCCCAAAATAATCCTCTGAACAGCAACCAAGCCCAAAGAGGTTCCTTTCTAGTCCATTGATCATGAGACACTTTACCAAGTTTGAGCCTCTGGTGATGACAGACCTTCCTCCCGTTCCCTCTCCCATGATAGCGCTTCCAAGACCCCACATAGGACTGGGGCAGGTATGAGCTGTGGTGCATTGGAGGAATATGAAGAGAAAGAAGAGAAAAAGCTTCTGACTCACCTTGTACTGAAGGAGATGAAGGCGAGAGGAGTGGATGAGAGAGTGAGGAGAAGGACCTGCTTTTATACTGCTCTTGCACTGCCCCAGGCCCACAGACATTGCATGACGACAGTAATTTTCCAACAGACTCACCTCAAAAATAAAATATTCTACCTAGTGGCGCAGGTTGTATTTTGGTTTCTGTCAACCTGTGCTGCCATTTCATTTCCTCATTTACAACATTACTGCTCTCCTTTCATGTGCTGAGATGAGGCACCCAAGGATATCCTTGTGTGATGCTGTGTCAGTGAAGCAGAAGATACGTTGGAAGTGGGATGCGGTCCCATGAATGCAGGGGATGTTGTCTTGGAGCAATGAATTGCAGTTGTATAGAGTTCCTCTTGTAGCAAGATGTTTCAATTCTTTTCCTATTACTGAGCTTTTCTCTGGAGAGAATGTTTGCCAGTTTGTCTGAGTATGCAGGACTAGGGACAAACGAAGCCTGCCTGGGTTTGAACCTGGCAAAATATTTGACAGGCACAAAAAATTCTTCCAGGTAGATGAGAAGTCCAAAGGCTGACAGGAGTAGCTTCATTGAGGATGAGGATTAGAGGAAAGGTGGAGGTACTCAAGGGAATCTTGGCCTTGGTTTTTACTAGCAGGAATTGGTGTCAATAGATTGGGCTCCTTGGAAAGTCATCAGCAGGAAAGGTTTACCTGCACTAGGGCAGGATCAGCTGTGGGAACATATTAACAGACTGAGATGAATGTGTGTGACTTGATGCTGTGCACCCCACGAGGCATGGTTGATGTCTGGTTGCTCTGATCTACCTTTGAAAGACTCAGCACTCACAGAATACATCTCAGGACTGCCAGAAAGCCAATGGACTTCTTCAAGAAGGCCATGAAGAAAAAGACATGTCAAGCAACCTCACCTCAATCCCTACAAAAGAAATGGAGCAAATCAACCCAGAAGCAATTTCTCAGGCTAAAAGAAGTTGCCAGTGAGGTGTCAGCATGGATTTCCAGAGGCTTGACAAATCTCATTACATTGTCTGATTTTGTGCCTAGCTCTGGTGGGTGAAGGAAGTTCAGTAAATGTTAATCTTGTCTAACTTAGGCCTTTGATGATGTTGCCTGTAACAATCCTTAGAGACAAATTGACAAAATACAAGCTGGGGAAAAGGGTAGTACAGAGGACAGAAATCTGTGAAACTGTTGGTCTCCAAGGGTTGGGACAAGGGGCACAAAGTCCAGCTGGCAGACACTCACACCTGGTGCACTGCAGGGCCTAGAGTGGGGCCAGCACTGCTTAACTCCTTTATCCAAGGTCCTGCACTGGGGGAAGAAAAATCTGCTCCCCACTGCAGGCTGGAGATGAATGGCTGCCAAAGACCTTCACAGCAGAGGACAGGGGTTCTGGAGGGCACCATGAGAAAGCCCTGGGCCCTTGTGGAAATGGCACATTTCTGTCATTCTGATCTGACAATATCCTGGGCTGCTTAGGAAGGGGGTGTCTTTCAGATGACGGAAGGTAATCTAAGAAGTGTGGAGACAGAGAAGACAATGACTCTCTCAGTCTTCACCTACAAGATCTCCCAGGCTGCTGCATCCCCTAAAAGAGTTCTGAGAAGGTGGGGGAGCCTTCCCCGCAGTGAATGGGTGTCAAAAAAAAGACAGCCTGACAAGAGCCAACCAGTGAAAGCCTGCTAATGCATTCCAGGTCATGGCTTCTATAAAGCAAGTATTCTATAAAGTGATTGTCTGGAGAACTGGGCCACAGGAGCCCTCTAGCATTCAAGAAGGACAAATGACGAGATCTGCACTTGGAAATGAAAAACCTCTTTCAGCAGTATGGGCTGGAGACTGAAATATGTTACAATCTTAGAGCTCTCAGCTCTCTTTTGTGAGAGAAGATGTACCTTGGGAGAGACTTGGAGGGTGGAGAGGATGCACAAGCCTCCTGGCCAAAGATACCATGCTGTGTTGAGGAGCTCTCCTGAATGCTCTGTGGAGGGATAGAAAGGGTTGCAGAAAACATCTCCCCACTGGTTGGGGCTCATCAATGGTCTCATGCATTGAGTATTCTCCTGGCATTTGTGCTTCAGCATACCTCATTTCCCATGCCCAAAAAGACTTGCTTGGAGAACAACCCAGCACCCTTGGGGAAGCAGGAACTTGTCCAGCTCCCTGGTAAATGAAGGTTGTCAGTGACAACCCCTGCAGTGCCACGTACCTGAGAACATTGAGGGAGGGGATGTGCTCATAATGGCCCTGGGTACAAAACCAGCTCTCCAACCACATCAAGGATGTGATGCACTTCTCTGCCCTGAAGACATGGAGGTAGCTGGGACGCATCCCAGGAGGGCAAGGGAATGCCTTCAGTAGGCAAATTTCCAGGGAGAGACTCTCCCTACTTGTGGCGAGTCATGCTCTAATTTTGGGTTGGCCTTGTGTCAGCTTTTTGGTGTGAGGCCAAGCCAGAAGGTGGTGTCTGTAGACCCATGTCCCTTGCAGGGACACAATTGCCCTCCAGCAAGGGCAGATCCACACATAACCCAGGAAAGCTGGTGCAAGCACTGGGCTGTATCCAAGTACACAGCTTCAGGCAGCCACAACAGCCATTGCTGTCAGTGTGACCTTCTTGTCAACACTCCCATAGCTTCAGGGGCTCGCAGGACAGTCAACATGTTTTGGGAAAGTCACTCCTGCTGGTCAGGGTTTAGGGCATGCAGCTAAAGTTCATGGCACTGTGAGGAGAATGAAGCAAACAAGGTGTTGTGCCAAGCCCCAACACACCCCTCATATAGCGAGGAGGGACCTGACTCCACCATAACTGTAATCATGGTCCTTAGGAAGGGTGACATTTTCTTTCTTCATGGTGACTGAAGGCAGTGATTTGAGTCCCCCAGAAACTGCCATGGGAGGGGATGACTGTTCCAAGTAAATCTGTACAGGATTGAGGGAGAAGGATAAGTTACATCATTAAGCACAGCTGCCTTTGTGTACCCCGGACAGACTCCTGCATTGGCGGTGGGATAAGTCATAACTTTCTGTAATGGGGTTTGAAAGGAACATTGCCAAATTTCTCAGTTCCATGTTCCACATCTGCACAGACCCCTCCTGCACTTGAGGGTGCATCTTCTGGTGACAGTGGCATGATCCATCTTGGGAAATCATTGGATCTGTCATCCTGGAACTTGAAAGGAGTCTACATAGCATAATGGGCATGTCAGTAATGAGGAAATGTACTGGCAATGGTGATGGAAAACAAAACACAACCTGGGGCATTAGGGTGGGATATTTTGCTTTGGAGATGAGTCTGTTGGAAAATTACTGTCCTCATGCAGTGACTGTGGGCCTGGGGCAGCACAGGAGCAGTATAAAAGCTGTTCCATCTCCTCACTCTCTCATCCACTCCTCTCCTCCACACAATCTCCTTCAGAACAAGGTAATTCTGAAGCTCTTTATTCTTCTTTTATTCATTCTCATCATTACCCTTCCATGGGATTTTTCAGCAAAAAACTGTCTCTTTCTTCTCTAGCTGATCCTGGGGTTGCTTTCTATGGGAGAGGGAAGGGTACAAAAGGGGTGACATGGAGAGAAGTTGGAGCTCAGTTAGGTGTCTCCTGTGATATGGGCTAGGAAGGGATCCCCTGGGTCTTGGTTGTGTTTTGCAGCTCTGGGAGAAGGAGAAGCGTGTGGGCCTCCCTATGATCCTTCCAGCTCTTTGTGTGAGCTCATGTCTTCTGTCCCTTGTGGTGGTGTTCTACAGGCTTCTAGTCACTTACCTCTTATGCTTTTCTACCCCCTTACTCTGTCTCACAGGTGCATCTGCAGCCCCAAGACATGTCCTGCTACACCCCGTGCCGGCCCTGCCAGCCCTGCGGCCCCACCCCGCTGGCCAACAGCTGCAACGAGCCCTGTGTCAGGCAGTGCCAGGACTCCACCGTCATCATCGAACCCTCGCCCGTGGTGGTGACCCTGCCCGGCCCCATCCTCAGCTCCTTCCCACAGAACACCGCCGTGGGATCCTCCACCTCGGCTGCTGTTGGCAGCATCCTCAGCTCTCAGGGAGTGCCCATCAACTCTGGGGGCTTTGGCCTCTCAGGCTTGGGCAGTGGCCTCTGTGGCAGGAGGTGCTTCCCCTGCTGAAGCTGCTGGCAATGATTCCAAGGTATGAACGTAAAGACTCAACAAGATGGTACTTCACTGGAGATGGAGCATCAGTTTGTTGTATCCTGAATGGCTGAGCAACCCCAGCACCACTTGCAAAAGGACTCTTGGGAAGCACAGCACATCCCTGCCTCTGCCCTCTGCCTCTCTCTCCTTTCCCTCCTGTGTCCCTGCTCCCTTGTGCTCCCCTGGGCTGTGAGACCCACACAGCCATCCTGGGGAGGACCTGCTGGCCCTGCTCCCTCTGTAGGGCAGGCAGATGGACTTCTAGAGAGTTCTCAGCCACAGCCATGGGGCACAATCTCTTATCTGTCCCTTGTGCTCACAGCACTATGACCATTGCTCAAAATGATCTAATTTCCCTCTCCTGATTCATTAAAGTTATGCTGCATTTGAGCCATTGCCTCTGTGTCATTTCCCCTGCAAATGCTCTCCCAAGATGACCAGGGAAAGAGATGTTGCTCAATCTTTCTTTTGGGAGGAGGTGAGGTGTTTGGGGTTGCCTCTGTAGCGACTGGTAACACAGGCTTACATCAAGTTTGCTGAGTCAGACATTGGGTTACTTTCTGCCTTCTAAATCTTGCAAAGCTAGCAGGATAATGATATTCCAGATGCCAAAGGGATTTCATTGCTAATGGCATCCATGGCCAACTTTAATCTCTGTGGAGGGAAAGTTCATGTGGAACCTCTCTTTCTGTAGTGCACCAGGATAACTTGGTCCACATCTGCCAATTCTTTCCATGCCATGAAATTTCCACTTCTTTGTGGTTAGAGGGTCCACTACACACAAAAACTGCATGCCAGAATTCTTTTGTTATGCTTAAATGCTCCACCTGGAAACAATTCCTCCTTTTTTTTTTTGGTATGATAAAAACCTCTATGAAGACCAAGAAAGTTTTCGTCATTGAACTGTTGGAGTTGGTGGAGCCTTTAACAGTTTCTTTCAGCCCTTGGAACATTGCAGTGAGACCAGGTCAATGTAGGCAAGTATAGTCTACAAGGAATGTGGTGTTGGGACATGGAGAGATAAAAGTTCCACCACAGAATCTTTCACCACTTTGTCCATCCTCTGAAGAATGGCTGCTATCAGGAAGAGGTTCATTGACTGGACATGTCTGGCTGTGGAGGTGAAGTAGCAACTGCGCCCAGAGCTCAGCCTTCATAGAATCACTGAATACCCCGGAAGGCACCCACAAGGATTATCGAGTCCAAATCCTTGCCCTGCGCAGACACCACAGCCATCCCACCCTGTGCCTGATAGCATTGTCCAAATGTTTCTTGAGCTCTTCTCAAGAGCCTTGGGACTGTGACCATTTCCTGGGGAGCTTGTTCAATATCTGACCACCCTCTAGGGGAAGACTCTTTTCCTGATATTCAAACTAAATCTGCCCAAACACAGCTCCAGCCATTCCCTCATGTCCTGTCACTGGTCATCAGAAAGAAAAGATCAGTTCTTGCCCATCCACTCCTCCTCATGAGGAAGATGTAGACCGGGACGAGGTCTCCTCTTGGTCTCCTCCAACTCCTCCTCCTCTGAACAGGCCAAGTGACCTAAACCTCTCATCCCAGCTTCCCCTCCAACCTTTCACCATCTCTGTGCCCCTTGCACAGGAACACCTCTCTTTTCCAGGCTTTTGCCCAAAGAAGGTGCTTGCACCAGGGCAGCATGGACAGCACAGAGGAACTGTTATTAAAGACTGGAAATTCCTCCAGCTGCTGGAGACTGCATTTCCCCACAGTGTTGAACCATGTGCTGAGCTGACTGTTCTGCCTGGGACCAGCTGCTGTGGGATACAAGAGCAGATGTGTGTTGGCCTTCCCCGTGCTGGCACCGGAACACAGCACCGAAGTTGTGTATCTGATAAGAGCAAAAGTGCCTCTTTCCTCCAGCATGACTAGTCTCTTGTGCTCACTGACACTGGCCTTTCCAATGTGCAATGGTTTAAAAACACAGTGGGGTAAAGTTAAAACTGCTTGACACCCCTCTTTCCCACATCAGTGGTGGGAAAAATTAAAAGAATACTGCGAGAAGTTAAAAATGTTAGACTCACAATTTTACTGAGACAAAACTCATAAACAACACAATATAGAGAAAAGTGGTTTACCTATGAAACCAGAAAAGGCAATATGCCACCTGGCCCCCACCCCTAAGGTGACTCAGAATAACAAAGTATATGCCATGACAAACATATTTCCATGGTTTAATGCCCTCTCTGGGCAGACAAAACACTGGGGAACAGGGGCAGAACAAAATGGAGTGTCCATTCCAGCTGAGTTGAAAAGAGCCCAGCCCAGCCCAGCTGAAAGAAGTGCAGCAGAGTGGCAGAATCCCACAGATTCCAGGTGCAGTGCAATTATTCCTACATTTTGGGCAACAATCGCCTCTGCTGTCCAGTTTACATTTTAGGTGGAGGTATACCTCAGGTACTCTGTATTTTCTATGCGGAGAATGAAAAGGAAAACCTTACCTTTACAATAAATAAATACACAAGTATTTATAGAGTAATCCTGTGTTGCCATGAGGGTGACCACAACAATCCCTAAAGCTTTAGGGTCCCCTGACACAGGGCAGCTGAGGTGCAAATAAAAGGAGTGGGCTCGATGGAGTGTCCGAAAATAAAAGAACTTTAATAAGGAAAGTAAAGTAGGGATGAGACCCATAACCCACACACCTATAGGGACAGATTCCAAAGACCAGAAATGAAGAAGAAGTAACAATATATAACATTGGGGTGGAATATTCTAGAAACATAACCATATATGGGAAACTAGTAACCAATAGGGGAGAAGAACATGGAATAATCAGCATAATTTAACAAAATAACACTAGGGGATGATGGGCAGGTCTTTCAAGCTCACCTCAACCTCAACAAATGTTTCCCAGGGTTTGAAGTTATTGCCTGGGGCTTCAGGGGTGAAGTCTTTTTGGTCCTGTGTCTCCGCAAGGCTGATTCCCACAGTCTTGTACAAATGCATCCAGAGCATTTGTACAACATGTGCCTGTTGTGCAATTTTACAAAGTGCAATGAGCCATCACAGCTAAGGAAGAAAAACAGGAGTGTTATCCCCTTCTACTAATACTAATCTGTAGTCCAGCTCCTTCAGCTAAAATTATTCCAGGCTTGGTAGCTTGAGATGGGGTGATGGTCCACACAGATTGAAGAGGTTTGGTTTCTTCTTTTTCAGACCAAACTTCAATTTGATGGGGGGTTTGTGGCACCAAGAACAGTTCCAACACTCTCCTGTCCTGTGTAGCTGAAAATATCACTGTATTCCATATCTATCTGTGTCCAAAGCTATTACTGTCTTCTTGAGACTCTGTGGTGCAGGTGAAAACAGAACTATGAAGCAGGTGAGGGCCGGGCTATTTAAGGTCCAAGCATGCAGGCAGACTCTCTCTTGCCTTGTAGACCTTGCTCAAGTCAGAGGCTCCTCTTTGTACTTTCTTTGTACTGTGCTTTGTAATGTTTCTCTTCTCTCCAGCCTCTGGAGGGGGCTGTTTCAGGCAGGTTTCTGGACTCGCAGCAGCAGCAACCTTCGATTTTGCAATCAAAAACTTCCAGGGTAACTTTTGCAACACCTTTTGGGGCCAGAGCTGGCTGGGGACAGGGGATGCCATTTTTGGTGCTTGGGGAGACCATTTCTCCCCCTTACCCCCAAGAAACATCCCAGCAACTCAGAAACAGCAGCACCAACACTATCAGAGGCTCAGAGGCTGACACCAGTGGGGCCAGAGCTCCCTGGGAAATGTCAGTGATTCCCATCTGCCACTACAACCGCTTTATAAACTCCTACCTTCCCAGATATTTTTTGTTCAGGGGGAAGGTTGAGCAAGTGGGGTTTGTCCACCATATTCTTTGTATCTGCTGAACTGTACTGCCTTGGGGATGGCTGTTTATGCCATTTTCCCTTTGTCTCCCCACAATATGGTCATCTGTGGAAGTCACCATCTTGGGAAAGGGGTTACTCCTGTATTTTTTCTTTATTCCTGAGGAATCTGAGAGATTTCAGCAACTTTGCAACCAGTGACTATTATGGTTATTTTTTTGCCTGTTGCTATTTTGTTTTTAAAAAACTTCTATTTTTTCACTTTTATCTACTTGTATTCATTTCTCCTTATTGGTCAAAAGGGGTTGGTTTAAACTATAGGGGGATGTAACCCATTTTACTCTTAAACTGTCTTAAAACAAGACACACCCCTAGATGAAGCCTAGGTATTTATCAAAGATACCTGAAATTCAAGAACTCAAGAATCTGATATTGACAGAGGATGGAGCGTATTTGGTGAGTTTAGCAAAGAGCAATCTTGACACCTTCTCCACAGCAGTGAATATAAAACACCACCCCTTTATGGAGGTAGAGGGCCAATGTAAGTAACCTGCCAGGTAGTCAGAGCCCCATGACCCTGCTGAATTCTCCCCCAGGGCCTGTGTAATGCCCTTAAATGTACAGCTGGAGACACACAATCAAAGCATTCCTGCGGCATCAATAGGTTCTGAGTGGTGCTTGACCCAGTGCCAAACGACTTTCTTCCCAGCCAGTTTCTGCAGGGAGGCACCAGCACTGCCAGGTATAGAATGGAAGTTCTCCAGCATCCTGAAAGCCCCAGGAAAGTTTGTAGTTGTTTCATCTTGATTGGTACACAGGAACTGATGGACTCTTTGGTATTTCTCTCGGCTATCCATGCCATACTATCCCCCAAAAATGCATAATAGTACCAGGGGCCCATATTTTCTGCATCCCTGGTAGAGTAAGAGGGCTGTCTGGGGTTCAGCAGTTGCCTCAGTTTCTTGTCATGACTCTGCTGTAATCAATAGATCATCAATAGAAGGGTAAACACTGACAGCACCCAACCACAGCACTGTGTCTGTTACCATTTGCTGGCAAATGGAGAGACAGTATTTGTGTCCCTGAGGCAATACCTGAAGAGTGTATTGCTTTGTTGCCAGGTAGAGGCAAACTGGCCCTGACTCTCTGAAGCAAAGGCTATGGAAAACAAAACATTGGCAGGATCCATTACCACTTTCCAGGGATGTAAAGCTGTTTTTTCCCATGACGGTAACCATGTCTGGTACAGTAACTGTGAGGGGGGAGGTGACTTTATTCAAGTCCCTGCAATCAACAGTGACTCTACAAGTACCATCCGATTTTCAAATGGCCCAAATAAGGTCATTAAAAGTAGTCATGATGTCTCCAATGAGACCCACTCCTTGGAGTGCAGGAGTTGGTTCAGTGATGTCCTCTACCCCCTGGAACAGAATACTGCTTTACATTCACCACCTTGGCAGGCACTGGAAGTGCCACAGGATCCTGTGGTGTGCATTCTCCCTTAACTCCTTTCCAGGCTGCGGTGTGATCTGAGAAAATGCTTGTTAGGCCTCGTCCTTGAAAACACC